GCTAACAGCATGAAAAGTTGGTGGATCACCAAGGTTATCACAATTCATTTGGTGGAGAACATGAATGTCCACAGCAAATTTCACAGCAATCCATAATATAGATAGTGAAATATGTAAACCTCATCGTGGCATCAAAGTCAAGAGATCACCAAAGTTCGACGTTACAGCACTAGAATGAGCAGAATTGGCTGTGTAGATCGCCCTGGAACCATCATTATGGAAGGATGTTCTTTGTAGTCCTTCTCAGGCCACGTCGTTGACCTTACACTGACGCTGAAACAGTTAAAGTTTCATCATTACTGTCATGGCGGCAGAAAAAGGTTTAGTGTATCTGGAACCTCTGTCATTAAAGCAACACTGCAAAGTGATTAATTCAGAGATCTGTCTGTTAGTTTGGAGAAGAGTTTTTCCATCTCGGTCGGTTCATCAGGGCGAGAAAAACCGCTGATTGCCTACTCAACACGGTGATGAAGTAGTGGGAGAGAGGGAGGTGAGCCAGAGGTTATGTTGATAGAGAAATGGAGGGCAAGAAGGAGGGACGGAGAGAGAGCAATTATTCAGAAACAATGTCAGAGGAGGTGTGTTTGTGCCAAGTCAATGATCGTTAGGGATCATGGGTGTTTGGTTAAATGATATATTCGCTGGCAGTGACGAGACTGCCACAGAGAAATTGCAAATCAGCATATTTAAGAGTTTTATAACTTTGTCTTCCAACATCATGGTTTATATATGTCATTGACAGGGTGGACTGACAAACTGTCCAGTGGTTCTAGGCTTCTATCATCATGAGAAAAGATGGTGTCCATGAACAAAACACTGAACCACTGCATGTTCAGAGAGTGCTGCCAATTGGTGACAATGCATATACAGGAGGAGGATGACAATATAGATTAACATATAGAGTTGGGTAGCATTACTTTTTTAACTGCAGTTAAGGTTATAGTTGGGGTTGAGAGATATGTCGGTATATAATATATAATATTGCTATGCAGTAATATATAATATTGCTATGCATTAAATATAGTAACTTTTATAAAAAAAAACGTTTTCTCTTATTAAACGTAAGTTTCTAGCAAATATTGCAACATCTGATGAGTTCATATCAATTTCAGACTTAAATTAAGAATTTCTGGTTAGTCCTGCCCACATCCATCATAATCCCCACCCAGTATTAGCACGGATATGAATACAGATCATTTAGTTAGCTAAACAGATACACATAATCAAGTACTTGCCCACCCCTAATTATAGTACATCTTGGCTACAAAAAGACAACAGTACCATGGAAAAAACACCACCCACTCATTGATTCATTTCCCTGTTGGTGAAGCAGTTGTGCTAACACATATGCAAAAAAAACAACGCAGAATCCCACAAGCAACAAATTAAAGTTCCTTGTAAGGACTTCAACTAAACCATCACAAGAACTGGAGGGATGACCACCTCTTCTTAATATCGCCAGGCGTTTAGGCTCGAGGGATATTGTCGGATTATTAAAGCATCGACAGGGATAATGCTTATGAATGGTCATTTCTTGTCATTATGAGATTATTATTGAGACTTCTTTATTGTACTAGTTGCGGTTTTTACGTTTGCACAATTGGAGCTTTTTGTATGGAGTGTCAGCGAAGTTTAATGTAGTTGCCGCTGCTGCTGGCTCCATGCTGAGTAGATCCACTCTTGGCTAATTAACATTAGCATATACAGACCTTGACTGTTCACTTGCCGTTGGTCCCAGTGCAAACAGCCTGGGAGTCTGTTGGGGAGACTAAGTTCCCTCCCATCTTTAATGAGCTATAGTCCACTGAGCAGCAGATCAGCCAGCTGTGCCAGATGAAGGAAAGCTCAAGAGCTAGAGGCAGCAGGGTCCTGTGGCTCCGTCCTCGTTGGCGATTGCTGTTAGCTAGGTACAGAAATGAGACAATAGGACAGTGTCTGTACATGTGGAGAAAACCAAGACCCAACCTTTGATCCAACCTCAGAGCACCCCCCCCGCTGGCTATATCTTAATGGTTCTGGAGGTAATTGACTCTACCTGTCTGAGGAGTTCCCTTTCCTAATGGATTTAAAAGTTGTGGTCTCAGTTCAGAAACTGCCCGCTGACTATCTAAAGGCAACCAGACCCCCACTTCACTCCTCCCCTCTGAGTCTACCCTTATTTTCTTCTTCTTGCTGCTTATTTGAACTGGCCTTGCCTGCATTGTGTCTGTTGATGCCGGTGGTTGTAAAGATAAAAGCCCAGAGTTTCTTTTTGCTCAATACTATGCTGTTTTAGTTGGTTGTTTCTATTGTTGTCTTAGCAAATCTTGCATTTTTGGGGGGCCTTGTCTTGAATCAGGGTTAAGCTCCAAGCACTGAGTTACCTTCCACCTTTTAGCTCGAGATTGTGATCGAAGGCGTCCACTTCAGGCAAATCGTAGAGATCGCTGTATTTAATTTGTTTCCAAACTTTGCATAACCTCATTGACTAGTGCTACATGAACACAGTAATACAGTGATGTAGACAATTAGATGGCTACTACTTATTTTGATTTTCTTTTGACGGCTTTCTCGTTTTCACAAATACCTTAACCTTGATGCACATGCACAAGTTTAATTGTACACTAATGATAAGATCCCTCATTCACCTTGCCTTTATCCAACACTCTTTTCCGAACCTCCTAATACCACCGTCGTCACATTGTCTCCTCCTCTAACGTCTTTGTCCTTCCCTCTGTGTACACTGTACTCCAGCACACCAAAGCCAGGAAGAAAGAAAAGTGGACTATTTTCTCTTTGTTTTTGTAAGATCAGAGGTTGCACTGCCAAATTAGTGTGCTCGGAGCGTTCCCTTTAGCTCTTTGAAGCTGCCTGATGATCCACGTTCTGCCTCTCCCTCGGGACAGCAGCCAGTCTTTTAGCTACAGCCTTGCAGTTTATTTGCTATGAAAGTTCAGGGCATTCTTAAGGTATTCCCTGCCCCTCGCCATCCTCCTTCACGGCCGCGCCTGCCTTCTTTGATGGCTCGGAAAGCTTCAAATTTAGTTTGAAGAGCACCCTTCAACAGTGAGGGCCTTTTCCTCGAATTGACAGGTTCCCTCCCCGGGAGTGTGTGGCGGCCAGGCGCTTTCTGCCGAACTTGTCACATGAAAGCTCGACCTTGCCGTCACCCCATAGGTTAATTTGACAGACTTTGTGAACATGCAGCAGCGCACAATTGATTATGGTTCAAAGAGTCTTTTATAAGACGCTGGTAATGGGTGTCTGACGTATAGAGAGAACAAGTACGCCCGACTTGTCCTCTTTACTCACTAGGGAGAAGATGCTAACAGACAGAGCAAGAGAGCAAGTGTGTATTTGGTGTGTGTGTGTAGCAAAGCGAGTAGTCTCTTTTCAGGTGTGTTCATGCGTGTAACGATGGCCCATGTGCCCATTTAAAGGTGTAAGCCTCACTGTGGAGTGTGTCAGCAGGAACGGAAACACACCTTGGTTGCGACAATGCAGCGTGGCGTCAGAGCGGGCGCTTGTTTTGTCCGAACACAGCTGCCAAATGCTGTTTATGCCTGTCTCCATGGCAATGGGTAAAGGAGACTCGGGTCCGCAGTGCCCATAGCAGCATGGTGGACCCTCCCGCAGACGTGAAGAACAATCCGCACAATCACAGCCTCATTTTGTCACAGCAGACGTCTCTGTCCTGTACTTCTAAATTTGTTGTTTTCTCCCCATTTTTCCCATTGCATTGTCATCTTCCTTACCTCATCCACCTCTTTTAGTCCTCTATCCTCATCCTACTTTTATTTCCTGGTACGATTCACCTCATTTCTCCCCTATCGCTCTTTTCTGTCTTCTCTTCTCTTCGTCACTTTGTAATGTTAGGATCTCATTAGTAGAAATACTGGGTGCTGAAATCAACGATATAGAACCGAAATAATTGTAATGAAGTTAAACCTGATAAGCAGTTGGCACTGAAATGAAATATGAAGAAACACTGCTCAGAAATCCTTTATGACAAACAGCTGTTGCAAAGTTAGTGTTGTTAGTGGTCTTGTTTATTGTTTTATTTCCAGCCTTTGACATTTTTTAACCAAAATAAAAGGCTGGAAACTGTACTGTATTTTTCTCAAACTCATTAATCCCCATCAAGTCTAATTTATCTTAATGGCCTTAATCACAATAAGTCTATAAAGAGCTTCACAACCGCCTCTATTGTGTGTTGCGAAGTTAATACCAAAATTGTGCAGATCTGTAAAAAGACCCCAAAATAAAGATGTTTCTGCAGTTTTCTGTACAGAGATGGAACTTAAGTCAATTTCCTTCATGCATTTCCTATCCAATATATTGTGCCTCCTTGACAGTATCACAGAGAAGGGAAAGGCCAGAACTTGTATTGTCCGACCAGGTTTCGGCCGTAGCCATCATTTGTGTGTCGGTGTGTCCAATGATGGATATATGTGACACCATATAGGGGTGGGCGATCTGGCCAAAAAACTAAACTGTCAGGATCTATTTAATCACAGCCACCATCCAAGATCTAAACTGCAATCTATTTTCTCTATTTTGAGATGCCCTGTTAACTATAGCCAGACTTGAATTTCTCCATTTGCACCACTAAAACACAATATTGCATTAAATACACTACTTCAATGCAATTAGAACAGCCATCTAGTCCACTACATAACTCCTGTGGTTTGTTGAAGTAGCGCAGATCTGCGAGTCATCGAGGTTATGTGAAGTAAGAGGACATTAAAAGCCGCAATTTCTACAATTCGCCTGAAACTTCAATCTTGATCGAAACTGTCAGATTACCTTCCCCTAAAGCCATATATGGTGCATAAAAAGGAGGAGTGCAACTATAGGATTTTTCCCCAAATGTGTCTTTTCAGTTTGACCTTCTATGGAAAGGGTTGGAGGTGGGGTTAGGTTTAAGGTTATTAAAAGCTGAAGAAACAGCAATGAACAACTTTATCAAAGCTCATCGTTATACAGTCAGTCTGTTAACCAGCATTCATTTCCTCCTCCAGGTGCTCTCGCCATCCTGATACCGGAGCTGGACCTCGTCATCTCACTGGTGGGCTCGGTCAGCAGCAGTTTCCTGGCGCTGATCTTTCCTCCCATCCTCCAGATTATAGCGTTTCACACAGAGGGCCTGTCGCCGCTAGTGACCATCAAGAACATCGTCATCAGCTTGTTTGGGTTGGTGGGGTTCCTCACGGGGACCTACATCGCCATCGAGCAGATCATCACCCGCAACTCACACAAACACGAAGAGACGTTCTCCTCCTACATGGTCCAGTGAGTAAGTGAAGTGACTGTTGGCAGGTGGAAGTAACACACCCATGCCATTTTAGAAACCATTTTAGGGCACATTTTTGTTTTTTAAGTATTTGATTTGCTGCTGTTGGATACGGCGGCCATTTTAGGATTTATTCATCACGTTTAAGCATTACGAAGCTGTAAGGACTTGTGGTGCTTTGTGTTGTGTTTCATTACGTCACAGCTGCACTACAGTGTGCTGTTGTGTCTGACATATGTGACTACTGGCAGCAACTCACACAAGTCCAGCAATGTAGTGCAATCTAACGATAACATAAAGCTAAATCATTCCTTCAGGTTGGAGATACCTTCAAAAGATTTTAAGGGTTTTTAGATTTAATTTATCATTTCGACAGCCTGAATATATTGATGTGTTTAATATTTCGGTTAAAGAATCTAACTACCTCACAAACTGGTATCGATTCGGTCTTTAGAAACTTTTTAGCACGTGGATTCGGAACTGTCAGCCCGAACAGCTTTTCATGTAGAGCTTTTAGTGTTTAACCACCCACCACCTCATTTAGAAAAAAAAGGAATAAAAAAAATCTTCATTTTTTGGTTGCACTTTGATTTATGCCTTACTCAGTGAAACGGCACACTACTTTGACACAGACAACACATTACACAAACTTTAAATCAAGTACCTGTAACTTTAAAATTATTGTTGCAAAGTAGATTTTTTTATAACAAAACGTAGCACAAAAAAAGGGTTGGGTATCCAAATGGGTACCAGTTCCAAATTATTAAGAACCGTGGATTGTTTGGGAATTGTGCGTTTTAATTAAATTTATCAACCTCAAAATGGGATTGGCCACATCTTTCTTTGAGTTCTGTCTTATATCAATGTAATCTTACACACAACAACTCCATAATATCAGTCAGCATTAAGTGACCAGTCACAACACATTGTTGCCAGCTAATCGCTGCACAGTGAAGCAACAACAGCAGTTTGTAAAGTTAAAGCTTCCTTTTAAAAGCTTCCTCTTTTTAAAGAAGTTAGCCTGATTATCAGACTCAATTGAAATTTTGTTTTTCAAATACTGACACAGAAATCGTGTACGAGATCTGTATTTCATAAGTTTGGGAGTTCAAGTCCTAACTATGATCTATGCATCTTTTAATGGCAAAGAAAATGTTCCTAATCAGTTTTTATTTGCTTAATGCAATGCACTTAAGTGCAACAAAAAAATTTCACAAAGAGAAGAAGACCTTGTTTGTTTTCTCAAGTCATAATGGCCTAAAATCAGCTAATGCTAGAACATCTGGCTCAAGTAAAACTCAGTTAAAATCAAAAGGGAAAGAGACGATTAGGATTAAGAATATTTATATTTTATGTATGTACTTTTAAAATCAGTTTTTACTGGCGACATATTTCGGTTCAGTTTGTGAAAGCCAGGATCTGAACCCCGATAAATGAGCGAAATGAGAATCAATCCAATCTATCCGATACTCAACCCAATAGCAAAATCTATCGAACTTTAGAAACGTAGTTGTACTGTTTGTGTAGGAGCGTTTATTTTTTTTTGATCCGATAATTTTTTATGTGTTTTTCATGTTTTAATGTATTTACTAAGTTAACGGTGAATGGTATTTTTGAGTCGTCTTTTCTTTTTTTTTTTATTCAACAGCATGCATTTTTAAGACTTACAACTAACCTTGAAAAAGTTATTTTGGTTCAATTACAGAGAGGCCCTGCGTGTAATATAATGTAATATGTATGTAATATAAAACAAAAGGTTTTAGTTACAAGCTGTAGGGATTATATTCAGACAAATACCAACATGTACTGTAAGTTCATTCTAAAGCTTCTGTACTGCTTGTATGTCTTCAGTGTTTGTGTTATCCGGGCTTTGCAGCTATTTATCAGTGGACATTGGTAAAAACTGAAAGCTTATGGGCCTTATGTGTAAAAACTTGTAACAGCTGTTGGTGTGAATCACAGTTGCTTTTGTGCATATGTACATGTAAATGTCACACAAAAATGTTTAAATCTTGTTTGAAATGACGAAATATCCACCGTTCTCCATCTCCTATGGATGGAACTTGTGTGCTAAAACAGTTTGAATGAGATTTTTCCCACTGGACACTTTAAGAGAAGGATGATGTTGACGATAATGGCGGTGAGGGGGATGATTATGTGCAGCTACCCAAAGAAGACTAATTTCACTTTGCTCATTTACGGCTGCAAGTAGTGATAATTTGAAGTGTCACTTCATCAATTCTTTATGTTTAAAATGATGGTGAAGAATAAAGGCACACAGCTTCCACACTGTGTCTGTTGAACGGTAATAAGGAAGAGTACAATACAGCATTATGCCCATCATAAATTAGGAAATGTTTTATTTTTTTTTAAATGAATCATTGTTTAGTTTATCAGAAAGAGCCCAACGCATCGTCCTGTACTTTTATTAACAGTTTTAAAAAGCTCCAAATCCTCAGATTGGACGGACTGGAACCTTCAAATGTTTGAGATTTTTTATTTGATAAATTCCTTAAAACAGATTTTCATTTCAGCAGTCTTTTATTTCTTTATTCCTTGCTCAGAATAAATAACATTCAAAGTTTCCACGTGTGTTTTACTGTCTTTTTTAGGTAGCTGCCAAAACTACAGTATTTCCTACTGTTTTTGTCAAAGATCTGGTCCCTCTAAACTTCCCAGGTTGTTCTGTAGACAGTAGTCCGCCTAACAAGGACCAACAGCAAAAACTAGCTGGTTGGTTTCCTTTTTAAAGTCAGAGGTCGTGGCTAGATTTTACTCTTCATACTGGCAGAAATAAATCCAGAAATGAAAAGATGCACAGAAAGAGACAACTGCTCATCAGCGAAGCCCTCTCAGCTTTTCCCAGTCTTCAGCAGCTAACATAAACCAGCCTTTCTCCAGTCGTGACCAGGTTCAGTAGCTCAGCTACAGGTCTGCTTTACTCTTCTGTAAACAGTTAGCACTTCACAGATTCTCACTGAATACGGAAGACGCAAATAAATGTGGAAAGCTTTGGGTTTATGTTATCAAAGGCATTTATTTACCACAGTAACAAGACACAAATTACAGTGAAACATGAGCTAGCGTGTAAAAAATGTTGTTCTGTGTAGGTCACAGATAATCGACGGCACCAGTTAAATCATGTTAAGGCAACAGGCTGTGTTGCCATGAGCGGGTTCATAGCGGACAGGAGGTCTCACTCTGCACTCGCCCTGATGAGCAGATTTCCAGCCTCACACTTAGTGATGAATATAAAAAAGCATTCAGTAGTCGGTCCGCTGTCTTAAATTCTTTATTACTGACTTTATTAGAGCGCTGGCGCCAGGAAGCCGACTCCACACATCAGATCTGCTTAATAACCCTCCTTCTATTAGCCTGGTTATACCCATGCTGCCATGACAACGAGGTCTTAAAGAGCAGCCTTTTTTTGTTTGAACTAAAATCCAGTTTCCAACAAGCATCTGAGACACCCCAAGGTCTTCTAATCTGTACAGTCTGAACCTTCTCTCACATTAACGGTCGCATTGCCCGTTTTTAATGATTCACAGCAGATTAAATAACAGTCATTCTGCACTTGTACATAGACATTTCAGTGTTTTTTCTGCTGCACTTTCATTTCTGTTTCTTTCATTTTTCAAATTCTCCTGCTGTTTTCCTGCTCTCTGTTATAGCAGTATTTAAGTATTTAAAGCACCATTAATCTGCTCCTGGATCAGTTTTTCCTCAAAAAACCTGATTTTACACAGATCCATCTCAGCTTACGAACGTGTCACACTTTAGCCACTTCACAGGGAGAGTAAAGACCCCTTGTACTAGACGTCCCCCAATCGGAAGGTTGTTGGTTCGATCCCCGGCTCCTCCTGCCACGTGTCGAAGTATCCTTGAGCAAGATACTGGTGTGTGAATGTGTATGAACCTGGAGTTCGTTTCTGTTTCGACGGACTCCTCACCGAGTGAATGTGTCGTGAAGGGTGGACACCCTCGCTCGCCGTAGTGTAAAAATGCTTTGAGTGGTCAGAAGACTAGAAAGGCGCTATACAAGTACAGGTCCGTTTACCATTACCATTTTACTAATGTATGCGTCATTTGCACTGTGGTGGACAGACAGACAGACAGACAGACAGACAGACAGTCAGACAGTGTTGGCTTGTTTTAAACCAGCTGAAGGTTTTCAACACAACATTTGTTGAAAACAAGAATCATGTTTTTAAATACTCTTTAATTCCCAATGCGGTGCTGTTAACAGTCCGTGTGCAGCAGGATAAACTCATATGGCTGTGGCTGTATAATTACATCCCAGAGGAATACAGCGGTTGATAGACTGGTGGAAGGCCATTGTGAATTAAAATGGTTGCTCCAATTTGTTGCTGACTTTATTTGTTCCAATTATTTCAACCAGTCACAGGCTTGTAATTGATTTTTTTCTCAGAAAATGCCACTTTTCTGTTCTTGGTCTTTGTGTACAGAACACGCTTATCAATGTATGTTTTAAATGTCAATTAAAGCTTTTATAAAACGTTAACATGTCTATGAAAGGTGTTAAGCTGTAAATTTACTTTTTTTTTTCTATATGAATGTTTAAGGTTGTCAGTAATAATAGCTAACCATTAAAGGGCAAACTATTATCAAGTGTTGCTGTCAGTTTTTGAGTCTGTGTATCAGCGCTCTGCAGAATGTAAACCCAAGCCAAATAAAGGACCTTGGAGCTCTGACGCTCGGTTCATATTCTTTTTCTCCGTGTCCCTGCAGTGAAAACGCTTTTCAACATTCGCCACAACAGCATGTTTGCCTGCCTAATTGATACAAATGAGATGGAGGCCGATTGGATTGGGTAGGAGAGAAAAGGGTCTGTTGGGGCTAATTTTCCTCCGTAAAGCTCCACGCTGCCTTTACGGTCAGCCAGAGATGGAATTACATTAACCCGAGTGGGAGCAGGGGAGTCTCTAATGTAGACCGATGTATTCCGACATGCACATGCTCCATGCATTTTATATGAGCTGGTCATTATAGACGTGTGTGAATGCCTGCATTTAGCTTTACATTGGTGAACATGTCCTACAGAGAGATGGGAATTATTATTCCATTGTTTTATTAGTTTCCCTCTGATTTCTTGCTGCAGGGGTTTGGCAGTCCATTATACTGTCAGTATCACAATTGTCTTCCAATGTCCCCTTTTCTGAGGACAAAAAGTTTCCAGCTCTTCCTGCTAAATCACGTATTACCATCTGCACACCGAGGCCAAAAACACTTTGAGGACACCTATTCAGTATTTTGTAATTTGTTGTAAACTGAGCCCTTTTCATTTCCACAATGCAGTGTCTGTCTGGTTCAAACACAGACGTGATACGGGACATTAAAAGACTCGTGTGTGTCTCTTTGAGTAATTGTGTTATGTTATTGTCTATGCTGAGCCAAAATGATGCACACATGACATCTCGTTCACATTTTCATCACATTGTATGCAGTAGCTAAGCTTGAATTCAAGATACTGTTATTAATATTAGTCATTTTAATATGTAGTTGCAATAGTGCTATACAGCTGGCAATGGCAGCTTAAGTACTAGACAGTTATTTGCTGTAAAAAAAAGAAAATAAAAGACAAACAATCCATTCCTATGGATTGTAGCTAAACTAAATCCTGTCCTCCTGGGATTACTGAAGGACAGACAAACTGGCAAATTGGACATACTGAGGGTGAACTAAATTATAATTAAATTAGTTTTATTGTGTTGGTGAAAATGTTTCAATGCCTCCACTGAAAACTCTCAAAATATGGCTGATGGCTTTCATTTGTTACGTAGCTAGCGCGGTTAGCTGTTTGCTGTGTGTTTAGCCACTGTGTCATATTTTGGTGACTGTTGTTTTAATTTTAACAACTTGATTTGGGCGGGTTGTGGAGCTACCTTTTTTACCATTTGGCAAGCTTCCACCATTGAAAAGTTATATTAAGGCTATATTCCAATAAATGAGATGATGTTGCAGGAGAGCTTTGAAAACAGAGAAACACGACTCAACTTCGGGATCAGTTTTGTCTCCTGTAATTCAGCGACGGTGTAAATGTGTACATACGCTTGTACAGTTTCCAGAGACATATGAATGACAACTCACCCTGATCACATGACCTTTCAGAATTACCTCACATTCTTATCCACTTCAAAAAGACCACTTGTAGTCATGTAGGAGCTCCAAACTGAACAGAAGGCTGACTGCAGCTTTCAGTCAGACAGAAATGCAGGCTTTTAGCTAATCTGACAAATAAAACACCATAAGGAAATCATGCTCATTGATTTACATCACAGCTACACTGATATAAATATCATGGATTATATGGTGGAAAAATATTTTATTTAGTCAGTTTACCAAATGCCACATTTAACTGAATTTCTTTTTAAGTTGAGTTATTACCTCGGTCCATTATAGAAACTAAAAATGACTTGATGTGAACACCAGAAATAAGAATTCTCTGTAAGATTCCCAGTATGGATTTGTGTTTTTTTTGTGTGTTTTTTTCACAATAAGTGAACAGTAACTAGCACTGGTGGATTTGATTGACCACATTTCAGCTGTAGCAGCTGGTCCTCACTACATGTTTAAATGTACACTTAAAACAACTTATATGCATATTGAAAATATAACATATTCAATCAACAGTCTGCTTTACATGTTTTATGTTTGTGTTTATAGAAATATACCTTGAGGACTGTTTGGATTATTTTATGAAATCATAAAACACATAAATGTGAAATATCCTCAGCACTGACCTGTCCATCTGAAAATCATGTTTTTTCACCTGAGGTGCCTCACCTCAAGCTTTTAGTGAACCGAACAGTAGCTTGGGTGAATGAGTGTAGCTCCTGTTGTTACCTTGAGACTGCTGTTAGTGTGGTTATGGATGAAGCTGAAATATTTTGAAGTGTGGAGAGCAGGCAGCCCCCTCGGCGCTGTCAGGAATATGCAGCTGCACCACCTTTCACTGAGAACAGGGAGATAAGCTTCCCTGTGGACTCTCGGCTTAAAGGATTCTCCGCTCTTACTTCTCATCTTTGGAAAGTCGTTTTCCATTTCAAAACTCTGAGAGAGCCGAGCCGAGCCGAGAATAATGACGATGATCGTCTCTTTAGAAATGGTGGGTGGCTCGCCGTGAGCCAAACAGCCAGTCACTCTCTAATTGAAAAGCAGCAGCCACACACATATGATTGAATATGACGAACATTTGCAGCTTAAGGACATTTACCAGTAATTATTCAGCTGTTGAATAATTACTTGAATCCTTTAGTTTTGTAAAAGTACTGTAATATAGAAATACTTGATTAAAAATATGCATATTTACACTGAACTCTACCCTACGCTCAACAAAAGATGTATCCATCGTTTTACAGCCGCTTCTTTCACAATGTAACCTTCTAAGAAAAAGTCTTCCTGGGGGCTTGGTCTTAATGGGTTGGGAAATCTGTATCAACCCTGAAAAGGATCCAGGAACCTGAACACGACCATTAGCAGCTCGACCTGAGACCGAAAAGTGGAAAAAGTAAGAATTTGTTGACTTGCAGCCACTGGTTTGTTTCCAGCCTACACAGACCACTT